GGGGCCGGGCCGCCCGCGCCCCCCGCCCTCCCCCCCCCGTCTCTGCAGTGCCAACTCGGGGGGCCGCTGAGCGTCGGCGAGCCCCGGCCTCCACCCCATCTCTGCAGTGCCAACTCGGGGGGCTGCTGAGCGTCAGTGAGCCCCGGCCTCCGCCCCGTCTCTGCAGTGCCAACTCAGGAGGCCCCGACCAGACGAGAACTCCGGGAAGGCCGGATGAGCAGTATCAGCGTTCCGCTCTAAGCCATTACCAGGACGGTCTCTGCCACAGTCATGTGACATGTGAGCACAACAGAATTCCAGGGCTCTAAGTCGAAATGTCAGTAAAAGCACGCGTCAGGCGTGCCACCTGGAGTGGCTTTCCTGTGTGCACTCTCCCAGGAGGCCCTTCTCAGAGCTCAGTGTGCTTTGTACAGCCATGGCTCTGTCCTACACTCCGCGGCTGCCCGTGGGTTTCAGATAAACCAACGTCTGCGGCTAGCCCGGCTGGGTCCCAACGGCAGTCCCCTCAGCAGATCTGCCCTTGCTCGAAGGGGCGAATGTTTTTGAGTCAGGAAGGATTTTGCTGACTGCAGGGACGGAGTGTCCTCCGTGCAACGAAGTCACAAACAAACAGCTTACGCAACAGTCTCTCCAGTCCTGCCTCTCTGCTCCCAGGCTGGGTGCTCTTTCTCACACCCTGGGAGCCTGGAGAGAATGCGGGCCGCCTGCTGGCAGCACATCAAATGCAAGAAGTAGGCCACGCAGTGCCCGCTGCTTCCCAGGCCTGTGGCCTTCCCGGGAGCGCGCAGGGGCTCGCTCCAGCCACAGCCTGGCAAGCAGCAGGGCACCGTGGCTGCTTCTCTGGTTGGCAGGGGCGGATGTGGGGGCCGAGGCTGCTCAGGCGGTCCTCAGAGCAAACCCCAGGCCTTGGCCTTCATCGCTCTGCATAGTCGGAAGGCCTCCTTCAGCCCGAGGGCGTTTTGTTTTGCACTGATTTGCTTTTAGTTGTGTGACTGGTGGGTCTCTAGCTCTGCGCTACACAAATGACTCTGGCCTTGGAAGTGTGCTTGCACACTCAAACGGCAGCAAGAGCTGACTCCGGCAGCGCTGGCATTTTCTAAAAGACCGTGTATAACCTGGTTTTAATTCGCATTTTTTTCCTTAATCCCAAAGTTTTACTTTTTCCTCTAAAAATGCAGATGCCGACTCTTACCTTCATTCTGCGTGGAGTGTCCGCAGAGCTCACGCTTTCAGTCTGGGCTTCCCCAGCTTTTTCTAAAACTAAATGAAGGAAGACAGAAACGGGGCAGAGTAACAGTGAGTCTTCAAAAGCTTCCCAAGTATCAACTGTATCTATTTCAAGTACCATTACAAAAGTATCTAGTGTATCTATTAAGTATCTAGTGTATCTATTAAGTATCTAGTGTATCTATTAAGTATCTAGTGTATCTATTAAGTATCTACTATATCTATTAAGTATCTAGTGTATCTATTAAGTATCTACTGTATCTATTAAGTATCTAGCATATCTATTAAGTATCTACTGTATCTATTAAGTATCTACTGTATCTATTAAGTACCTAGTGTATCTATTTTTAAGTATCTAAATACCTTAACTTTGGTATTTATTGTATCTATCCAATCTCTGTAGTGTCTATTTTAATCTCTGTAGTGTCTATTCTAAGTTTCTAAACCTTTTTTGTATCTATTGTATTCATTGAGTCTCTGCTGTATCTATTTTAAGTATCCAAGTAGCTACATTTTTTGGCATCTATTGGAATACCTTCAAAGAATGGGACCAGCAGTTAGTGTAATGGCTATGTCGCTGGACTCCCATGTAGTTGACCACAGTTCGAGTCCCGGACCTGGTGGCACATGTGTGTGTGTGTGTGCCCCAAGATTCTGAGAGGAGAATGGAGGAGAAGGGATTGCGGTGTGGCCATCCCCCCTGGGGGGTTATTTCTTGCTTTCTGTCTCTGTCTCTCTCTGTCTTTCCGGTGAAAGCATGCAACCTATAGCAAAAATCTCTCCAAAAAAAAAGAAGAAAAAAAAAGAATAACAGAGAGGTAAATGTTTCATGTTAAAAGATATTTCTATTAAAAAGTTGCTTTTATATTTTTACTGCAGTATTTCATACTATCATTTACAAGTGGCACTGAGCATTGCCTAGGTCCCTTGATTCCAAGGAAGTTTCCTTGCCAAGCTCTGAGCTGACTCAGACACAGTGACAGACATCTTCCAACGCCCTCTCCCCAGCACCCCGCAGTCTCCCTTTTGCCTGGCCCTACAGACTGGATATACAAAGGCTTATGAGGAACTCTTGCCAGGGCTGGGTGTGAGCCTGGTTCCTCTTTGAGTCCAGGACGGTGTCTGTATTATGAATAACCTCAGCTGACTCAACTTGCCAAACCTTAGTGATTGACGCTCTGTGCTACATTGGTTCCTAGCATCTCAGCTTTATCTGTCTGTCTTTCCGGTGAAAGCATGCAACCTATAGCAAAAATCTCTCCAAAAAAAAAGAAGAAAAAAAAAGAATAACAGAGAGGTAAATGTTTCATGTTAAAAGATATTTCTATTAAAAAGTTGCTTTTATATTTTTACTGCAGTATTTCATACTATCATTTACAAGTGGCACTGAGCATTGCCTAGGTCCCTTGATTCCAAGGAAGTTTCCTTGCCAAGCTCTGAGCTGACTCAGACACAGTGACAGACATCTTCCAACGCCCTCTCCCCAGCACCCCGCAGTCTCCCTTTTGCCTGGCCCTACAGACTGGATATACAAAGGCTTATGAGGAACTCTTGCCAGGGCTGGGTGTGAGCCTGGTTCCTCTTTGAGTCCAGGACGGTGTCTGTATTATGAATAACCTCAGCTGACTCAACTTGCCAAACCTTAGTGATTGACGCTCTGTGCTACATTGGTTCCTAGCATCTCAGCTTTATCTGGATCCAAAAGGCTGAGAAGCAAGCAGAGAAGATAAATCGCAGAAGTATAACTAAAACCAATTACCTTTTGATAGCGCCTTATGGTTTTCAACATGGTTTCAGGGTGCTAATTTGCTCTCTAATCTAATTTGCTTTATGTTCATAAGAGGGAAATAAATTAACCCCATTGCATAATATAGATAAACAAAATCTAATTGCTATGACAGGCTATAATTTTGGATAAAAAGAAAGTCCTCAAAAACTAAATTGGGGCCAGCCTTGGGCACTGGCAGGGAGTAAGCCAGACACCACGTGGCTGCCCGGTGTTCATGTCTTGGCCTGGCAGCCTGGAACACCTGGTGTGCACCTGCTCAGGGTCTCAGCAGGATGGAAAAGTGGGGCAAATGGGCTGGGGTGTGGCCAGGCCCCTCTGGGCACCTCCTTCCTCCCTCTCTCTCATGCACGCATGTGCCCTCTGGCAGATGGGCTGTGGTGTGGCCAGGCCCCACTGGGCACCTCCTTCCTCCCTCTCTCATGCACGCATGTGCCCTCTGGCATAAAAAAAAAAATTGAATTTTAAAAAATGAGTTGTAGTAAAACAAAAATGTTAGTAATACTTTAAACATTATTTAAAATTTAAAAATTAGATATGCAAAGTTAAGTGATTTGGTACATAGCAAAATTGATTAACCGATAGCTTATAATTTTTATTAAAAATGTCTCATGCATTTTTTTTTTTTTTGGAGAGGTTTTTGCTATAGGGCATACACTTGCCAGAAAGAGAGAGAGAGACAGAGAGACAGAAAGTAAGAAATCATCCCCCAAGGGGGATGGCCACGCCACAATCCCTTCTCCTCCATTCTCCTCTTGGGATCTTGGACACACACGCATATGTGCAAGCCACTGGGTCCGGGACTAGAACCACAGTCAAGTACATGGAAGTCCAGTGACATAGCCATTATGTCAACTGCTGGTCCCAAAAATGTCTCATGCATGTTTAAACTGTGATTTTTAGTTTACATATAATTATTGCACATCTTTGTGAGGTACGGAATTGTCTTTTCTTTCTTCCTTTCTCTTTCTTTCTTTTTTTTTTCTCTTTAATTGACAGAGGGTGTGTG